GTCAAACGGCAGGTGGATATGGCCAGATAGGTGACCAAAAATAAGCAGACAAGTACTGCGCTGATGTTAAAATGCAAAACTTATAAGCACCACTCAAGTAGGCCACTACATTGTTTTCGCTTAGTTTTATTCTTCTATTTAGTATGATACGTTTAGTCAAAGCAATTAGCCTCGTAGATCGGCTCGAAATGGTGATTACTGCAGTTTACGTAGCTGTGTTAATACGGATGAGATATCCCTCACTTCGCAGTGGGTAACTGGCATGACACATCAAATTTGTGCTCTGCAATGCCCTTGGAGAACCTGAACATTCACTTAAAGCTACATGAAAAGGGCGTGACAAGATCCTTGTCGTGAGTGTACAACTTCTGTAAGACGGTGGGATGTGTGGTTTATGATGGGCAATATAAACGCCGAGTAATGAGTGCGAAAAAAATAAATAACAGAGTTCTGCCGCTTTAATTACTAGCACCTTCACACACCCGAAGCGTTGTTGTTTTTACCATTTATGGCAAAGAACAGCAATACCTTGTGTACTGAATACATACGCTGCATAGCCTGCCGCAGAACCCCACACACCGACACGGTGGCGAAACATCAGGGATGCTAGATGGCGCTGCGGCGGAAATAATGGCAGCCTCCTTGTGAAAATGGTCTATACTGCTTGAACCTGTGACTTAGATGCAAAACGAGGCTATGAACTCTGAGAGGTTCTTTCAACTAGTTTATCCACGCAAAAGGCAGCTGCATGGCTAGCCTACACTCGGGCAGGTGTGGACTAGCCATGCAGCTTTAATAAAACGCCAGGCCTGCGCAGAAGGCCCAGCACGGTCACAGCGAAAGCTTGGAGAGCAGTCTTTCAGAGCCTTTTCTAAACACTCATTGGAAAACTGCTGCAAGCACACTTGCTTGATGCCCACTATGGCATTAATAAAAATTTTAGGCTAGTAGGCCGGTATGCTATTTTTCGTGATTCTTCTCAGAAGCGTGGTATCCGCTAAACTGTTGCGAGAAATTTTGTGCCAATTATTCATGCAGTGGCCAACAACGATGAGGAATTATGCCTGAAGTGGGTATGCGCCACAGTTAATAGGTGAACAAGAACAAGCTTTTGTAGTGGGTTGGAGCGTTGGGCAACCCAGTCGTTACGTTATTCGCATTTTGCGCCAACTGGTTGTTCTTTCACTGTTTTCAAATGCTTTATAAGTTGTATTAATGCAATTGCTTTTCCGAGATCAAGCCTGGCCTAGGCAAGTTTGCCCACAAGCCCCTAAGCACCGGCGTAGCTTAGTGGTAGAATACTGGGCTGGCACCCAGCGGACCCGGGTTCGAGCCCTGCCGTGTCATTGGTACTAGGTTTTTTTTTTCTATTTGCGCGCGATGTGGTTACGGACACCAGCGGCGGTGGACAACTAGGGCGCTGCGCGAGATCTGAGTTGTGATCTCATAAGTGTCTTCGCTGCAATATTTTGTGTAATTCATCGCCAAATTCGAAAAAAACACTCCACCTCTCCGTCACTATTTACTGTGCTTCGAAAAAAATTTTGAAAGAAATTTAAGAGGTCAACCAGCCATGCTTTGTTCGATCTTACGAGGAATCGCCCAACTTTGAAATATCACCCTACCAGCACATTATTAAACAGCGAGAAAAAACCTTTTCATATTGCTCTATCTCATACGAATATGCCAATTTTGTCTTCCCTCAGTTTCACTTAAAACTACACAAAAATTTTAGAAATATTCTAAAAATGTTCTATTTAATTCGCACCGAACAAAATTTTGCTATTTGCGCAGCTCTACCAGGGGTGTGCTAATATTCGACCTTTCGAATATATTTCGAATACTGTTTGTTATTCAATTCTCACTAGAATTTGGACTATTCAAAGTATTCGAACTTCCCGAAGACGAATGCAGTCAATGTCAAATTAACAGTAACCCCATTGGATTTTTTAAATGCTTCACTCTATTACACTCTTGCATTGCTGTGTAGCTGCCGTTAAAACTCTGCTATGGTAGCAAATGTATTGGCTGGTTACAACATGGAGATGCACTGTGCCGTTACCATAGCCCTTTAATATTTTTAATATGCTTCATCGCGCAGGTCGCGGGCTCGAATCCGGGCTGCGGGGGCTGCATTTCCGGAGCCCTCCACTACGGCGACTCTCGTAATCATATGGTGGTTTTGGAACATTAGACCCCACATATCAATCAAATATGCTTCACCGCATTACAATCTGATATTGTTGCGAAGCTATCTTTACGGCTACGCTTTGGCTGTAAACAAATATACTCATGAAAGTGCTGGTTCGAACCTACTTGGGACTCTAATTAATGTCGTTTCAAACCAAAAATAAAAAAATAAATTAACATCTTCAACAATCAGAGATTAGCGACTTCGAATTTGAAGGAATTGTTCTCTTGTATGCCAAATCAGTTGTGTCTCAACAGAAGTTGAAGAGGGGAGAGGCCAAAGAAATACAGTATATTTCTTTCACGTGTCAAGTGCTGTTGACACCACATTGGTTGCACCAAATCATGTAAATACAATTTAGTCTGTGCATTTGTTCATTCTTGATAAAAACAACTAGGAAACACCATCCCTGCAACACTTTACCAACCTAGCCAAAAGAAACACTTCCATGTTCCTCTATCCCCTGCAACCTTTTTTTCTTGTGACTTCGAAGCGTTCAAAAAATATTACACAAATATTCGGCAACATTTAGAAAAATGTTCTATTAGATTTGCACTCAAACTTTGATTCGACATTGTTTTGAGATTTTGCTATTCGCACAGATCTAACTTGCACATTTTTTCAAGAAAAAGAGTGTGGAAAACCTATAACATCAACCACCTGCAACACGTCACGTCATCGCATATTGTCACCCCGCCAACATCAAAACCTTTCAGGGTGCCTCACTGACTAGACTGCATCTATTGATGCGAGATTCTGTGTGCCAGAATGAATAACAAGCCTTCCATACAAGCTTCGCACAAGACGGTTGTCACCATGCTGCCTGCCCGCTAGGCAGTATGGTGACACCCACGTTAAAAAGGTCTGTAGTGTGAGTTCATGCAACAGCAGTCTTCTTTGTTATCACTCGCATTTTGCTATTTGTCGTACATCAGTTCTTTTTCAACCGCCGCTGGCAACACGTTTGCAGTGGGAATAGTGCATACACAACAGGCTGGGTGAGTACCCGACTGAACCAGAAGATACTAGGAACTGCAGGGATATTGTCCCGAATATGTCACTGGTAACAATGCAATGTCTGTTCCATGCAACTTTTTCAGCACTAGCATACAAGAAGTGATACAGAATCCGACTGCGGTAATAACTGAATCTCTGCATGCATTGACGAGATGTACTTTCTGCCGAGATAGGGTTAAACTGAAATGCTCCTCTGTCTGAAATGAACGGGCTTTAGGACACTTGACGTTTCTCTTGTTTTACTTGGCCATTTGTTACGCTGGAATGAAGTGCCTGTGGTACAGTGCACACAAGACAGTCAAAGCTACTCCCACCAGCAGAGGCCCCGCTTGCAATAAACACACCCCAAGCCTTAGGTTGCAGTCATGAGTGTCACTTTGCCCAGCTGTCGTGTTGTTGTTCTTTGTCGTTCGTAATGCTATGCGCAAAAATCAAGTAGCATGCAAGTTGCGCTTTTCTGGGCAGAGAATAAAAACAACCAAAAATAATTTTCAGGTAACAGTGTACGAAAGGGTTGTGCAGTAGGGATAACATTTTGGCCAGTGCTTATGTTCACTCACTTCACTGGACAAACTGGCTGAAAATCCACAAGTGTGCCTTACTGCTGTATTTAATCTTTTCGTACTGTACAATGTCGGTGCACAATACAAATACTCCAAATGGTTAACATTAAGTGGAGCCCTCCACTTTCACGAGTTGTGTTAGGACGTCAAGGGCCACAAGCTAAAACCTAACTGAAATTGAGGAAAGCTGGGAGTATATTCTGCCTGGTGACTGTAGATGTGCCACCGGTGACTCAGTGAGATGGCTCCTTACCATTGAAGCCAAGGAAAGCATAGTAGACATTTAGTGCAACAAAAGAGACATTTTCACTTTTGATTACTTACAATCCACCTTATTTACTCGAACGTTAAATTTTTTTTCTCCAGACTTTTGCCATTTAAAGTCTGCCCTGACGTTACCATTGATAGCAGAAATACAGCAAAAGCCGTTATGAGATCACAACAAGGGTCATTTTCGCCACCGAAATAGGGAGAAAAATAATGAAAAAATATATATCTAGGCGTAACGGAGTTGAAACCTTGGTCCTCTAGCCCAGCATTCTGCCACAGAGTCGAGCCGGTGCTCGAAACTTTTCAAGAAGACACCTTATGCAGGCATTATGTCGGGAAAGAAATGCATTATTGTGCGATTGGGGTTTCAGTTCCGATTTGAAAACCGGTTGCCTGGAGGTATAAATCTACATACGGAGATGCTTGTGTACATAAAGGGAGATTTTCTACCCTGGTATCAGCGGTGTCACCTCTCTTTCTCGGCCAGTGCTTTGGGCTCTGTGTTCTCCATGTGTGGCGTCTGACGAACGATACAACAGCTTACATAAGTACTAATGTAGCAAGGTATAAGAGTAAAATAACAACCAGGTGTCGCAAAATACGAATTACGTAACGAGCGGATTAACAAAGGGCTGTCATCAGCCACCACGGTCAAGTGTGCGTACCTTGCTTTTCTGCACGAAACATGGCATAGTGGGTGCTTCCCAACTTGACCAAAAATATGGTGCAGCTTGCAAGCGTACTTGTATTGGTAGCTCCAAGAGAGTTTACAGCGGGTTCTAGACATGCCCCTCTTCCTAGTTTTCACTGTGACTGTGCTTTCTGCAAAGCCACCCTTTGCACTACAATCGCAGTCGCGTTACACTCAAGGACATACTGTATATCCTAATTTGATGTGCCTCGTGCATTCCTTAGCTTCATCCTTACATTATTGACTACTGTGTGGTTCATATCAACAGGGACGAAATCAATTGACTGAAGCCCTGGACAGCCTAATGAATAAGGCACCTGTAGCAACTCGCAGCTCGCCCACAAGGAAGCAAGAGCACAAGCTGAGCAGGAAGCCAAACCTCGAGCATGTGTCAACAGAAAACGTGTTCGCATCAACAATTATCGACTACAAGGTGTACGAGAAGCCTAGCCTGAATCAGTAAGTAGGCAGTTCTGGTGTGCTGTCGTCCAGTCGTGCTTACTGCCTCTTCCTTTGCAGGATCCATGGCAGACAGTGCACGTCGAGTGTTGCCGTGATGACTCCCGTGAGAAGGTCGTCTCGAAATTCCAAGCGCCGTTCCAATCTCATATCGTCACCGCACACCTTACTGTACAAACCAAACTCTGCACTTGAAGATGTGTAAGAAATAAAAGTGTTTATTTCCCCTTTTGGGAGGGTGGCGAAGAAGGCTTGTCGTGCATTTTCTCCCACACGTGCACGCCGAACAACGCAAGGGCAACGACTGCAAACAGTGCCACGGTCACACCCGCGTCTTTGCCTTGCCTAATTTGCATCTCCTCCTCTCGCATCACGTCCTCGAACTTCTTCCTGCGCCACTGGTAAGACTTGACAGCGTCCCCGTAGTGCTGCCGATAAAATTCGTCAAAGTTGTATATTTGCGACCGGCCGCTCATCGGTGCACGCCTTGCCGGTTTCTTCGCGTGAAGGCCCTGCTGCGGGGAGCCACCCATAATCTTGTCGTCGTAGTGCGCCCGCAAGGATTCGTTCGAGAGCGTGTCGTACGCAGTGGTGATCTCCTGGAAGCGCTCGCTGCTGCTACCCTTGTTTTTGTCGGGGTGGTACCTCATCGACAGCCTATAGTAGGCAGCTTTGATTTCGTTCTGCTTTGCCCTCGGGCTCACCTCCAGCACGTCGTAATATGTCCTCTTTGCACTTGAAGAAGCGCAGCGCCTACAGAGCACGCACGCTGCTGCCCGCATTCGGTCCTGCGCTAATTCTTACGGCCACCTGCGCAGTTCGAAAGCGTCCGTTGATAGAGGATGTGACATGACTATTGGCTAGACAGCATTTGCTGAGCCGTTGTGTCGTGAACGAGCGCCTCCCCAAGCGGCGGCGGAGAAACCGCGACGTGGCGCTGTTTGTTGCTGGCAAGATAAAATTTCAGAAGCGATTGAGAGAAATGGGGGAGGAGCGTTGGGCTAGGAAGGTTTTCAGCTACTTGTACATGAAGAATGTCGATACAAAATGGAGGAAGCGAACCAGGAAGTTGACTGGTAAATACTTAGAAAACAGCAGGTGGCCAAATCAAAAAGAACTATTGGTTAAGAAGAAAATGAAGGAAACAGAGACTGACATGTGGAGAATGGGCATGATTAAGAAGTCCGCGCTAGAGATCTTTCGAACTTTTAAGCAGGAAATTGCCAAGGAAAAGATCTATGATAATACTCGGGGTAGTTCTCTACTGTTTGAGGCCAGGACGGGAGTACTGCGAACTAAGACGTATCGGGCCAAATATGAAGGGGTAGACACAGTATGCAGTGCGTGTGGAGAGGAAGAAGAAACTGCCGAACACTTGATAATGTTCTGTAAAGGGCTTCACCCTATAGTTTAGGGTGATGGCGCAGAGTTTTTCAAAGCACTGGGGTCTAGGGACCGGGAGGGCAAAATAGACTTTAAGCGGGTAGACTTAACTAGAAGGAGGTTATCTGATTGGTGGCTAAAGTCAAGGCACGAGTGAAAATTAAACTCTTCACTGCAAAGTGCGAATCCTCAAACTCACTTTTTAAGGAAAAAAAAATTAGTTTTTGGTTCATTAAGTATTACGGCTTGGTGGCGCTAGCCACCGCCCGATCTAAAAGGTACAGCCATATCCATCCATCCGATTACGGTAGAGGGCATCACCCTCCCGCAAGCCCTCGGATTTCTTGATGCGGAGGGAAACCGCTGTGGCAAAAGTGTGCGCACCACGAAAGCTTGCCTCGAAGTGTCGTGGAGGGACACAAGACGGTCACCCACGGCGAACACACACGGCGCTAGAAGTGTGTGACTTGTGAACTCTGGCGTGTGTGGTTTTTAACTCATGCTTTCTTTCGTGTTTTTTTTTTTTCTTTTTTTTTCACAATATGGCTAGGACACTTCATTGAGTGCGCCCGTTGCAAAGGGTACTTGGCCACATTATCTATCTATCTATCTATCGATTAGATTAGAAATTAAGCAACGTGAAATAGGTAAGCTTGCTTTAGGAGCTCATGGGAATACACCAAATCAGAGAGTACAAGGGAATATGGTATGGACATCATTCGAGGGCAGGGAACATGGAGGAAACTTCCTCCGTGGCAGGGAAGCTAGCATGGCTAGCAGCACGGAGGAATGTTTTTCTCCATGGCTAGCAGCAAGAGAAAATTTGCCTTGATGCAATGATGATAATTTCAGCAGCGCCATTTCTAGGTCGGATAAGTTAGTTCAGAACGCCACCGCTACCCATTTTCGTTGCATTGTCAAAGGTAGTTTCCCTTCTCTAAATGGTTCTCTCCTGTGGTTCTGTGGCCTGACCACGCACTGGTAGGTGTTCTGTGACCACGCGCAGTCTGTGGCTTAGTACTATCGCTAGGTGTGCTTTGGTACTATCGAACCTCGAAGAAACCGTTGCGGCGGTGACCGGCAAGGTGTCGTTGACTCCATGGGTGCCACGAGCTTCGATCGCAGTGTGATGAGCGAGTGTTTCCGCCTGGCCGAAGAAGCACTGTCATCGGGCGAAGTCCCTGTCGGCTGTGTGATGGTCTACGACGGCGAAGACATCATTGCTCGCGATAGGAACCGCGTGAACGAGTCGAGAAATGCGTGTCGGCACGCCGAGATGGGCTGCGTCGAGCAAGTACTGGCCTGGTGCGCCGATCGTCGGCTGCACTGGAGACAAGTGTTCCCTGCCATATGTGTGTACGCAACGGTGGAGCCGTGCATCATGTGCGCTTCGGCCTTGGGCGTGCTCGGCGTCTCGAGGATCGTGTTCGGCTGCGCCAACGAACGCTTCGGCGGAATGGGATCCGTCCTGAACAGCATCGACGAGACTCGTGTCGTGTCGGGCCTATGGGCCGAGCGAGCCGTCCACTTGCTTAAAACTTTCTATGCAGGCGAAAACCCGAACGCCCCGAAAGTGAATGCGTGACCACGGTGGCGCTCGATTTGCGCACGCACGTGGTTCTGGCGCGCTGCCAGATCTGCCTGACGTCAAATTGACGTAACTAGTGACGCAACCGCCTTTTTTATGGATGCGTTTTGTGCTGCATCATGGAGGCCGTAAAGTTAGCGAGCAGGAGTTAAATGCTAGCTAGACAGGTCATGTGAGCGATAAGTTGCAGGAAAAAAGATTAGATGTTACATACAGTTGCAGTAAGGCAATAGCTAGAGTAGAAGACGTGGATGCAGTAGAGCAGTGCATGGAGGAAGCAAACACAACCAAGCTAGATAGCAAAGAGACAGTGAGTAGATCTTTGTGGTTGGGCGTGCCTATTGAAAGAAAAAGCATGACGCATTTACGAAAGATGATTCCAGAGGGTGCGAGAAAGAATAAGGTGCTTCACACGTGCGTTGTCAAACGCATAGAAGTAAGAAAAAATGAGACAGCCCTAGACACAAAGAGATCCGCTTGTGGTCAGCAGGACATAAGGAGAGTGGTGCAAAGTAGCGGACGCATGAGACGAAAGAAAACCACTTCGATGGAACTAAAGCTATGTCTTGATCAACCGCCAAGAAAAATTGTGGGGCAAAGAGCCAGCAATGCAGCGATAGTTGGGACACTACATACAGCAACTGATGGGGTCGGAGTAATAGAAACAGAGGCATAAGCTGGGTCGAGTGGCTAGGACATTGGGTCGCGAGTAGACGTAAGAGGAAACTAAATAAGACAAGGAATATGAAAAAGCACAGCTGGAAGTATGTTGTCTCAAACTGGTGGAAAAAAGATGGTCAAGTGGAATGGGTTTGATTGGATGTTCAATCAATTAACTTTTTTTAAATAAAAGGGTTCTATTCTTTCTGTAGTTGAATTTTCGAGTAGCCGAACAGTGTTAAAGGAGCCCTGAAACAATTTTCTGAGTAATCATGGAATTAATTCACAGAAAAAGCATATTACCTCACAAATTCAATGCTGCAAAAATTTTAAGAGTCCGTCCAGTACGAGCGGAGTTACAAAGGTTTGTAACACTCAGCCATTGCATTCTCTCTTCCCTCATTCCGACGAAAGCGCTGAAGCTAAGCAGGGAGGGACGAGAGGGGAAAACAAAAAACGTCACTTGCGCCTCGTGACCTTGAGCACTTTTTTTTCCTCGAATACGCAACTTTTTTCAGTGCGATCACGCGTGGACAAGTGACGGCATCTTGCGGTGACCCCTGTAACAACAGAGCGCGCCATGTTGAAATCAGCCAATGGCTGACGGATGGGCTTACTACGAGTGATTTCAGGGCTTATTCCGTGATTTCTCGAGAGAAGAGAAATCCATTTTTATCTGGCTTTGATAATTTATTGTGAATTCCACTCCGTGTGCTGCGCTATAATATTTAGCTCCTATGTTGTCGGGAGCCTTTACTACCGATCGGCAGCATTTTCTGACTATGCTCAAAAAGTGTTGCAGGGCCCCTTTGAGGTCAATGAACACTTTTTCAAATGTGCAGTGTAGTGGTTGTGTTCTTGAAAGTTGAACCAGTGGGCAGTGAAAGTAAAAGTGAGCACCGGACAAGAGAGTGCAAGAAAATAAGGACCAAGCAAATGGCAACAGCGTGACAGTGATGAAAACAGTTTAAGAAGAAAAACTCTTAGAAAGATGGGCGTATGTCATGAGTAGAGGCCGGATATATGAGCACCAAAAAACCGGGTTTTAGGTGACAAGAATGAGCGAGCAAAGCACTGTTTTAGGCTCCCAAAATCGTATGTATAGGCGCAAAGAACTTTGACAAAATTCAAATTTTGGAACAAATACGTGTGGGATCTGTGTCTACGACAGGAAAGCAAACAGAAATGCTTGAGTTTTCGATGGTACAAAGGCGCTAACGGTTCAATAAAGCCATGCATTTTTTCCCACAGGGTTCGTTCGCAAAATCTCTCCATTTCTAGTCCAGTATGGTGAGTTAACTATTGCTACCGAGGAGGTAGCAATAGTGCTTGCCGCCTTGCACACGGATTCTAGAATAATCACTACGGATACACGCAGAGCCTGTGAAAATTCTCTGGCGGGCATGGTGTCACCTTAAGCCTACGATATTCTAAAGCGAGCCGTCAGGGAATTACATCCCACACCCAAACGCATAGTTTGGCCTCGGAGCCACTAGGGCCTTAGAGGTAACAAGGCTGCGGGTGCAGCTGCCCGCGCGCTTGACCACTGGGCATCTCACCAAGGCTTTTCCATCTCGGAGACTAGCCAACCGCTTCTGCGATGGAGAGAAATTCTGCTGTATTATTGCAAACGACATCGGCTTTTCCCGGTGCCTGCTAAGGGCCTGAGTAAGGCCGATGAACGAATCCTTGTGTCCTGCAATAGTAAAGCATTTTGACCCGATAACTAAGTCTCCAATAACTTTCACATGGCGTAGGAACGTCAGATGAAACGTCTTCTTCTTCCAAACCTTCCCCTACAAGAGAGGCATGGGAGGCAGCCCTATTCAATTACTCAGGGCTGGAGGCTCAAAGAGCTCTAGAAAAATAGATGCGGGTAGTGGCCTTGTTCAGCGTGGTCCCAGAATAAGGACTGCCCCTGTGTAAAGGACCTTTATGGGCCTGCAAACTCTCCACGAATAAATGTTTTTCACACACACACACACAGTCCCCAGGCGGCCACGTCAGCATGCAGCACCGGGTATCGCCTGCGGCCGCTAGGTTTAACCGGCCTAATCTCGGAGGCCTCCCCCATGTCAGCATCGACATCAGGCGACGACGACAAGCGACCAGGTTGGTAGAGGCAGGTACAGCGACGTTCGTAGAGAACGTTGAGATCCCCAAAAGGTACCGGACACGAACAATCAGGATACTGGCATCAAGATAATCAGCGGTGACAAGTAAGATCGGCCCGAATCTTGAACGAAACTATGAAAATGGAGATGCCCGGGGTTGACTAGGACAACTTAATATGTTGCGATGTTGGAGTGCAAGCTTAGTGGAGCTCCGTTGGCATTCTTAGGACAGTTTAGTATGTATGGGGGTCTGTTGGTAGGTTAACTGTAATTTAGTTTGGAGTTATTACTATAGCTGTTCTATACATGTTTTTTTTTTAAGTGAGTGTTTATTAAATAGGTTTTCTGGTTAACCAAGTCTTGTCTCAGTCCATCACCCGCAACAGCAGCCTGTAATCCGTGACACCAAAGAGGTTTAGTAAGGGTGTAAAAGTATTTGTTGCCTGGTTTTTTGCATTAAAGGCACACGCTTACACTGTTGCAGCAAGTGGTCTGTAATTGTATTGCACATTCTCAGACTTCTTTTTTTTCACATAAGAAATTCAGGTAATAGGAGGTTAAACATGCTGTTTCACTCTCATGCAGTGATGTGTTATGGTGCTCATGACATGAGACATTAGCATTATTAGATGAGTAACATTGGCCTGGTTCAGGCAAAGGTGACTTGCACAAGGTAGCCAGCTGTTGCTTATACCGGCTGACACCTGCCTCATTCCTCTTTTTCTCACACCATCAAGTGACTATTTCTGCTGAGCAATTGTGAATTCATGGCAACACGTATGTGAGTAGCTAAATTATTTAGCTCCGCAGCAATTAAAAGCTGTTCCATTGTAGCTCTATTGTACAATGATGTATCGTTAATAATTAGGATGTGGACACACCATTCATGCTGTCTTGCATTGCATAAGGAGTTACTGCTGTTGCAGCAAATGAGTACATGCACAGTCATAGTCCGCTCAAATTTTCCACTGCCGTTCGCCATTGCCTAGTGGACACTAGTGTAGCGTGATGTCTGCAGCACCTTTAGCTGTTTTCCTTGAAGAAGTGTGACATTAGCTCATCACAGGCATGGCCAGGTGTGATGGTTTCTTCAATGACTGCATGTTCCAGTTCAGCTGTACAAGTGGCAACGTCTGGATGACTACGTAGCCGGCGCTCAAGCTCGGAGCACACGTAAGTCCACAGCCAGCGCACTCGTTGCCGTTGGCGACGGTGGTCCAGCTCCCCAGTGGGCTCAAGCACATTCCTATAGTCTTGCACAACACCCCACAATTCAGAGATGCCTACATGGGCCTTTGCAGACACCTGAAGAACCTGCGAGTAATTTATGTAGCATAAGCAAATCTCCACATAAAAGGCACCAGAAAACACACCTTGGGTCTCCACAGCTGGCTTCGAGGCTTCATGAACTTGAGTGCACTGATGTACTCTGCAGCCATGCGTCTGCACTCGGGAATGTGGTCACCGTCAGCCTTTGTCACAGCTATAAGGTCGGCCATTTCTACAATGCCCCTTTTAACACCCTGCAATTCATCGCCACCTCCAGGTGGTATGAGCAAAAGGAACAGGTCCACCATGTCGGCCACCATGTACTCACTCTGGCCTACACCTGCACGCATGGCAACAGAGACATTGATTGCCGCACATTTACCAAACTTAAGCCTTTGACCATCAAGATACTTACACAAACAGACTTTAACAGCAGCTTGTCGGGATGGGGCCAATGCTGAAAGGTTTGCAACACCTTCTAACCCAGGTGAACATGCGTAACTAGGAATCTAACTGGTTTCGAATGGTATCAAATGGTCCTCCTTGCAGGCCAAATCGACCCAGTTACAACTCTAATGGCTACAAGAGGAACCATAACCAGTTGAGCTGGAAGCAGCTGGTACATTTACCGCAGATGTCAATGACATTACTTTTGAGCTCAGTTACCTCACAAATCTCCTGCAAAAATAATTTGTCATAGCTATCAAACATAAGCGAACTTGTCACATGAGTTCTTTCATTTAATTGTCAAAAAAACAATGCCCCTTTTAAGATGTACACAGTAGAACACAAAAAGATCTTATGGGAAACTACACCTTGGCATTGCAAACAATAGTAAAATATATGACCAAGAGATGCTGTGTGAAAATGATCATCATCATCATCGGTACATTGTACAATGTGGCAGTAAGTTCAATAGCGAAGCTCACTCTCTGGTCCTAATGAACTAGTACAGCCGTCTCAGGGCTATTCATGCGCACGGTACAGTAATATGAGTACAGATATTTTTGCAAAGTTAGCAGGCAAGTGAGAGGCTTCAAATGAGACAAAAATTTGTGTCATTATGGTTAAAGCGGCACAAACAACAAGAATGAATAAGTATACACAACGAGCGCTTACACACAACTGAAAGTTTGAAACATAAAAAAAAGTGAACCTAAATGAAGTGCACAGTCACCGCCATGTAGGAATTTCACAAGCTTTCAAAAAGGAAAGAAAAGCAAAAAATGTTTAGTAAAATTTAGCATCTTAACCCCGGATAGGTAGCAAATAGGTATGACAAAATAGCTTCAAAAACTTTCAAAAAACGAAACCAAAATGTATCTATGTATCCAAAAAAACTGACTTCACTAGAAAAAATGTATCTATCCATCCAAAAAAAACAAAAACTGAGTTCCCTAGATGATAATAACACTGAAAAAGTGCTGACACAACTTTCAGCAGCATTTTTTATGAGGACGCATTTTTTATGAGCATTTTTTATGCTTCCATGATTTCATGTAACTTGAAGAGGCATGCACATACAGTGAAGAGGAGGTAAATGTAAGCACCCCTTTGTCCCTGTTGCCAACCTCCCTAATAATTTGTGGGGCATTCATATGATTACCAGCAAAGCATTGTTGCTACTTTCCCAGCAGACAGTGACAGTCTTGCTTTTGCTTTTTCAATGCATTTGCTGCATTGCTCTTGTCGATGCCTGTCCACTTTGTTCGCTATCTTTCTCTGGTCTAAACATGGTGCCGCCTCACCTTCGCTGCTTTGTCACTGTGCATCTACATTAGCATCCTCTATCCTTGTTCTACTTCTTGTTGTCTACATACAGATGTGAACCCAGCCGAAATACTTCCCCTGGAGTCGTGAGGTTAACAGCTTCGCTAAGTAACATACAGAACCCTAGGCTCACATTTTTCACTAGAAACAGCAAGCGAAGTATCAAAGCAAGCAATACTGTACAAGAAGCACAAATGGCCATTTAAGTCACAAAATCACACCTCGAAATGGTACGAAAATTCTGGCAGATGTCACCCAGAATCAATGAGAAGCTGCCTATGCCACATCTTTACATTTTTTTTCCCAAGTATCACAGTGTGAATCGACATCTCTAAGTGAACAGTGTAATTATGTGCTTACAATTTGCACCACGTGGCTGCTGGCTGGCAGTTGTTGTAGCACGTTTGTCAGCATTTGTCTTGTACATCGATAACACGAAACTACAATGGGTGTTCCTCTTTTTCAAGCAACATCAGGCATGTTAATTTAACCGCCACGTTATCTTATTACATCCGCTCTGCTAAGCTCAAGAGTGTGGGTTGAATTTCATTGGGGGCTACATCTGAAAACCTCAAATGGTGGTCGACATCAATCGAAAGTCCCCCCACAATGGTCTTCCACATTTGTCATTAAAGAGCAGATTATCAACAAATGCCTATTTTATTTGTTTCTATCGTGCCACTTCGGTATATGAGCAAAAATTGGAGGTTAAGAAGTGTTTTTATAGTGCTTATGAATGCTTTTTTTTTTTTACGTTCGTGCCTGAACTCCTATATATGCCTATTTTCAAAATCTGTGCATATATGAACGCTATTTAACCTCAAATTTAGCTTTCCAGTACTGCTTGAAACCAGTGTTCATGTTACCGGGAAAAATTTAACTTTCGGAACTCTGTGGGGTGCACCCTATGCTTCTTTCAGCACGGTCACAAAATCTCTTAGTTATTGGGAAGGCCAATTAGCCTCTACACATCTACTCATCCACGTCGCTTTGTCTGCTTGGCATCTCCCTGCTGTTTGCTCACAGGGAAAAGAATGTGCTTCTGTGCGGCGGCAAGATGAAAAAGAACGAATGCGAAATCGTGGAGTGCGATCAGCAGAAGGTAAAGTGTACATTAATAAAAAACAAAGGATGTCCACGTGGTTTTTGTTTTGTTTGTCATTTACTTCTTAAACAGTGCTTTACTTGGTTACATGAGAAATTTTACTTAGGCACTTGAAATCATTGCGTGCACAATGAAAAGCTTTGCACCACTAGAATCCTTTAATTGATTCATTACAAGCTGCAAAAGCATGATGCAAGGAAGTTAGCTTGAAACATTTGGCACTGGCCCGGTGTAGACTTCGGTAGCCGAATTCCTGCCCTGCCGTATCCAGTATTGGAGCAACTCTGAGCTGGAGGATCACATGGCACGGACGCATCAGCACGTCATGTGCAAACAAGGTTACATTTGCATGACATGCCCATGCCAGGTTGTGCACACAAGCGGTGTTACATCGTTTTAATGTTCCCTGTATTGTACTGCATGTTTCTGGGGGAGTGATTCATCTATGTGCGCATGCTTGAAGAGGCTGGCATGGATCGTGTATCCTTAACACAACACACAGCGTAGCACCGCTGGAACGGCGGGAACACCAATGCAAACAAAATGTAGGCAGCTTAGTCTCGCATCTCGCTCGATAAGAAGTTAAAAAAAAGTACCGCACATGTATTCGGTTTTTATGTTTTGTCATTTCTGCAAACCTTCATACAGTCGAATCTCAATAATTCAAACTCGAAAGGGCCCGAAAATTTGTTCAAATTAAAAAAAGTTCAAATTAATGAAAGCTAAGAAAACGGAGGTTTCCCCATGCAGTGGCGCATGTGCATTGAACTAACACACGAGGGAGAAGTTTCAGAAGACTTACATTTATTCGCGAATCACAGGATATCCTTCATCAATTGAAGTGATCGGTTATACGCGTATGCACACGTTTTCCTTGCACCCAGTCAATCAATTCTGCCCGCAGCTTGCAAAGTAAATCTACTCCAGCTTCAGCATTCTCCTGGCAAGAGAAGTTTCATGCGGCAATGTCCAGCGCTGACACTTTTTAAAGACTGCATCTTCGCTACTACCCTCTGGGCCAAAGCTGCAGCGTGGCCAGCATGTGACGAGAAAAGAGGAGCGTCTCTACGCGGAGAGAAGCAGATCTGCATTTGAGAGAGAACCAACACTTCACGGCAGCTTTGTTTTTTTAAATGCGAAGCATTTCTTAGCGAACTTCGGCGACTTTGAGCGTAGCTATCTATCTAGCCGCTAACGTTTGGATGCTCTCGTGGTCACCCCCTTAACTTGGCATAGACGAAAATTAGCATGGGAGGGTAAAATGGATTGACGAATATGATGCACTAATCAAGACATGAATAATGTCACAATCCCATCGCGTACGTCGTCAAACACTTCCCGTCAGACAGTGGCACATACCCACGGGTAGGTATGTGCCGCTAGTAAGCGGGTATGTGCCACAGGTGAATGACACTTAGTATCTACCCAGGAACGACGAGAAGAACACACATGGGCAACTTTAACGCGTGAGCAGTACCCGACATCGGTAACATCGACTCAACGAAGGCATAGAATAAATGTCAGTGTTAAAAACCTGACATAGGCAGCGTTGGCCACCCGACAAATGCAAATAATGAATTTCATGGTTTCAGCAGGAACCGAACCCGAGCATTCTGTGTGGCATTCAAGCATTCTACCACAGAGCTATGCTAGGTTTCGGAACTACTTTTCAAATAGACGCTAATCTTCATGAAACGTCAATAGTGGTCGCAGTGCTGCCTACCAAATTTTATAAACATTACATATGTACTCCTTTCATACAGCCGTCACGTCGGGTTAACGTCAAATGTGGTGAGGTGCAATGTGCTAAAATTGATTTAAGCAGAAATGTCAAGCATCTGCATCTCCGCGAGCATCAGCGCATCATATCGGCTTCTGGTGTTGCTAAAACAAATTTCCAGCTGACATCGCTGTGCAAGTGGAAAACTGGTTATATAAAGATCTACAACTCTTGAACTTATGTCTCTGCGTGCAACATTCGTACATATATTTAGCATCATTTCATGACGTGTTGCTCAAAAAAAAAAATGCAACATGGTCACCTTCCCTCCGCACGCTTCGCATAAAGCTGATTCCCAAATACGTGGGATCTGGCTAATTTTTTTTTTTCTTTCTTCGCGAGCGTTGTTGAAAGGAAAAGGGTTACGTGGCAGGGACAGGAAAAGGCGAAGCATGGCACCGGCGCATGAGAGAGAGCCACACTTTGCAACAGCTTTCTTTTTTTTTTTTCCTCTCTCTTTGCACATGGCATTGGAAGGGGAAGGGTCTTTACTTGGCAGGTGCGCGTAGCAGATCGGCATTTGAGAGAGAGAAAACATTCCACCGCAGCCTTTTCTTTCCTTTTCCTCTTCTTCGCACGCAGCGTTGCGGTGTTGAAGGTGCCGCTGTGAAATTGGGCGGGGTGCTGATAGCATTTTCGGAGCGCGGTATGTTCGAATTAACCATTGCAAGTGCTTGCGTGTTCG